GGAGAGAGAGAGAGAGAGAGAGAGAGAGAGAGAGAGAGAGAGAGAGAGAGAGAGAGAGAGAGAGAGAGAGAGAGAGAGAGTGCTGCACTCTTTGACCCGTCTGGTGGAAGAGAAGCTACCCTTTGATATGGTTCTAGGCGTGGATTGGGGGATGGCAGTGAAAGCAGATGTGAAAATGGGAGAAGGTGAGTGCTGGTTGCCACACAAGAAGAAGATAAGAAAAAGGAAGTCCGCCAATTTCATCAGTCTGGAGTAAATTCTCGTTATTCATGTGGCATATGAGCTCATGTACGCTAGATACTCGGTCAAGAAGAAGCTAGTAGGTCAGGTCTACGTGACATATGCGACACTTGAGGAAAAAGAGAAAGCAAAGGAAGGAGAGCCAAGGGGAGAAACAGAGTCGGTGCCACTGCAAGTCGAGAAGCTGTTGGAGGAAAACCTTGGGGAACAGTAGAGAAGGAAGCCAAACATCACATCAAGGTAGAACTAGGTAGCAAGATTCCCAAGGGTCTAATCTATACAAGGAAAACCTTGTTAATGTGTGTGTGTGTGTGTGTGTGTGTGTGTGTGTGTGTGTGTGTGTGTGTGTGTGTGTGTGTTCTTTCTGGTCGATGTGGCACAGAGAATTCTGATAACCCCCCTCGAAGAGGGTACTGTGCTTATCTCCGTGGGAAAGCCCTCAACGTGACTCCTGATTATTGCAAAGAAGCGGAGGACAACTTGTCAAAGGCTGTAAGTGTTTCTCTTCTCTCTTCTCTTTCCCCTGCTCTGTCTTCTGTCTTCTCACGTCTCTCTCTCTCTCTTCTTTCTTCTCTTTCTCTCTCCTCTTTTTTCTCTTGCTTATCTCTTCTCCCTCCGTCATGCTTTGTCTTTGACCGCTTTCATCTTATCCTTGTTATGGTGGATGGGGTGTGACTGGCGGGCACGAATCTATGGAAAGCCACGACATCTCTTGATTGTACCTATTTGGGGCTGTGAAAACACTTAACTTTTTCACCATTATGAAGTTAATATGAAACTTTTTCACCATTATGAAGTTAATATGAACGGTTTACACTGTTTAATCAGGCCGCACAACCTTGTTGTCATCTTGACCATTGAGAAATGAGCATCTAATGGCAGTGCCTGCGTGCCAATCATCCCTGTTATTGCATGCATAGTGCTTGGTGAGCAAGATGACGAGACCCTCGTGCAGCCTGATGATCAACACAGCCTGCTCGTTTGCTCTCTCACATGCCCCAATTCCTTTCTCTCTTAGGCTATAGCAGAGTTACCTGGCCGTGCAGCCAGGCTTGATCAGGCTGGACCCCAGGCGGGTTAAAAAAGGTGCAGAAAATCAATAAAATAGAGGAGAGTCTGACTTCAGGTCAGATGGTGATGAAATCAGGAAGGAAAAGTCTGAGCTGGGCTACCAGCCTGCCGGGCAAGCCTGGGCTCGACGGGGTGGGGGAGTTCGGTTGGATGATCCCAGACGGCCCAGAAAGTGGCTACTTTTGTAGTTTTTTTTTTTTTTTTCTGATTGCGGGGTGTTTCTGCACTCCCCCAGAGGAGGCAGAATGAGACGGTGAATGCCATATTTGGGGGGGGGAGGGAGGAGGGAGCAGATGGGAGGGGGGGGGGGGGGGGGGGTGGAAAGAGGGGGCAGGGTGATGGGGCACTTATGGCAGGATCTTGGGGGAGAGGAGGTCGATGGGGTTGAGAGAGGTAGCAGGCTGGTGGGGGAGAGGGGTCGGATGGGGAGAGGTGGCGGATGGGAGGGGGAAGAGTTGGCGGGATGATGGGAGAGTTACGGCGGGATGACGTGGGAGACATAGGGGATCGGATAGGGAGAGGTGGCGAGGCGCGATGGTGGGGGAGGGAGGACACAAGTGTGAAGGAGAAGTGGTGGGATAATGGGAAGAGGTGGTGGGGTGATGGGGGAGTGGTGGGGATGGCATAGGGGAGGTGGCGGGATGATGAGTGAGAGGTGGGTGATGACATGGGGGGAGGTGGTGAGACGGTGAGGGAGGGGCAAGAGGTGGTACAAGGGCGGGGGAGAGGTGGCAGGGTGGTTGGGGATTGGGGGATGTGACGGGGATGGTGGGAGAGAGATGGCACAAGGGTGGGAGAGGTGGTGGGATGGTGCGGGAGGGGAGAGAGGTGTTGCAAGGGTGCGGGAGAGGTAGCGGGATGATGGGGGATGGGGGCGTTTGCGATGGGGATGGCCGGAGGGATATGAGGCAAGGGCGGAGAGGGTGTGATAGAGTTAGGCTTGAACATGGGAGGCACGACAGGCGGAGGAGTGTAGGCAGCAGGCACAGGGGAGCAGTGGCGACGGTGGGGAGGGTGTACGTGCTGGGTGAAGTGTTCTCTCTCCTTCTCTTTCCCTTTCTGACACAGTCTCTTTGTCTCTCTGTCGCTCCCCCTCTCTGACACACTGTCTCTCTTTCTTCTTTCCCTCTCTTGCTCTTGGCGCTCGTCTCTCTTTTCTTCTTTCCCTCTCTTGCTCTCTCGGCAAGCGCCAAGAAGACAGGAAGAAGAAAAAGAATAACAAGAAGAGGAATGAAAAAGCCAAAGTTAGTTGGATCCATGGCAGCATGATGAGGTATAGCGGCAATGGTGGAGGGGAGTAGTGGTGTGGGCGAGCAGGGCCGGAGTGAGGTATAGCGGCAATGGTGAAGGGGAGTAGTGGTGTGGCCGAGCAGGGCCGGAGTAATGGCAGCACAATGAGGCAGCATGGTGAGCTGACGACGATAATGGGGAGACGAAGTGGATGGCTGCGGCAGAAAACTGCCAACCCAAGCATAAATGGCCGGTAGCACGTTTGAATCAAAGTGCTCCCAATAGGCCAGCCTGGCCCGTCGAATGAGGGCGGATATGGGCCACTAATCTTTGGAGATCGGCAGCCCACATCAGCCTAGAAGAGAGTCGGGCCCACCAGTCTCAGCTAGGCCCGAAAACAATTTCGGGCCTCCCGGCAGTGGGGGTAGCCCGCCTATGAACAAACCAGGCCAAAAAATGGTGTGGATTGCCGCCTATGAACAAACCAGGCAGCATAGAGAGGGGGTGAGGTTGAGGCTTTCATGACTTCCCTGTTGCTGCCAGCGACAAGGAGATTGCCGCCTGCTTCTGAAGACTGGTGTTGAGCAGCACCAACCTCTATAGCTGAGTTTTGTGCTGAAGGTTGGGCTTGCCTGCGAAAGGTCACCGCTGCAGAGAGACTTCATTGGTGACAGCAGTAGTGGGATAGAGGAAGAGACTTCATTGGTGACAGCAGTAGTGGGATAGAGGAAGATACTTCATTGGGCTGAGTGGCGAGTTGATTGGAAGTGGTCCTGAAGCTGAAGGGAGAGAGGAAGAGCCGGACACTTGTATATGCATTGTTAATTATTGATGCTTCCCCCCTCCCCTCCACTTCTTCTCTACCTTCGTCTAATTTCCACGTACTTGTCATTGGAATCTGAGACAACTTGCTGGAGCGTGACTACGTGCATGATTCTGATATTGTCGGCTTCTCTTGAGTTTGGTTCATTATGAAAGGTTTTCTAATGAGGGTAAGCAATACTAAGCATAATAAAAAGGTGCTCAGCCCCATCTGCTTTTTGCTCGATTTATGCGTGTCATGTTTGTGCAGGGGCCATGCTAATCTTCTCTGTATCGTTCCAATTGTAATGGATGTCTCAAAGGACATGCTTAGCTCCATCTCAACCTTAGGGATGCCATCGTTCCTTGAAAGTATTTAAATCACAGGCTGTTCCTGTCTGGTGTCTGCGACACTCTCAGCGTCATTCAGCCGTCCAATCGTCCGTCCAGTGATTTGACGGGCTCAGCCCGGGCTATCTGAATTACTTGGCAGGGAGGATGCTGCCAACATCTTGGACCGGTCATCCAGCCGGGCAGGCGGATCTGGATGGCCCTGTCACTTTACCAAAAATGCTTTTTTGTGTGGGTCTGAGGGTCTCCCAATTTTTTTTTTTTTTTTTTTTAATAATAAAACAGGTCCTTATGGTCCTGGCTCCATTTCCATTCTGGGGAGCATCAGTCCGGTTCCTATTCCACCGGCAAGTCAGAATACAAAATTACATCTTGAACACGCGCATTTGATTTCCATTTTCAAAGGAATTCAGAAAAGTTGGAAAACATGTGTTGTGCAGCATTGGAATATGGACATTATGCTAAGGCTCAGGGTCATCGCAGATTTTTTTTTTTTTTTTTTTTTTTTTTTTTGACTGTTTAGTGGGTCAGATCTGCATGTCTGGATGGCGTCCAGGCCCAGGTCCATGTCTGGTCTGGATGGTGTCTGGGTCCCAATCTGACTTAACCTTGATGATAACCTACCATGTTTCATAGGTAGTTTGTTTCGCGGTCCTGGTGTGTGCAGGTGAAACTTGATCCGGCACTTTCAGACGCCTGGGTCTGTTTGGGGAATTGTTTCTGGAAGAAGAATGACCTTGCCTCAGCAAGGAATTGTTTTAATCTTGCGCAGACCAGGGTGAGCAAAATCTTAAGCTGCTGCCCCATATTGTTCTTTTAGGGGTGGGGAAGGGAGGGATTTGTGCTTTGCCCCCTATAGTTTGTGATACTTCTGTGCCGCCCTGTAATTTCTGATGATGTTTGTGGTGTGGCCTTCTGACGACAGCTCAAATTTTCGTAATATCCGTCACATAAAATTGAAGGCATAAAAATAAAAAATTAAAAAAATTGAAGGCATCAGAATTGCATGCCTGTCTGCCAGGGGCCTGCTGCAAGTTGCAGGATTTGGAAGACCATGTTGCAAATGTGAGAAATTACAAGGCCAGTGCACAATTATAGGACCAAATTCAAGGTTTCCTCTTTCTATTTTTCTGCAAAGTACTTGGCCTGTTTCTTGATTTGTGTGTCATCCTTGTGCTAGGGCCAGAGTCATACGTGTGGCACACATCATGCACGCCTGAGGTGTGTGTGCAGCGCACAACACACACACACCTGTGCGCTCGGGCACTCTGCAGAAAAGTTCCGTGCATAAGGGGTCCACTAAAAAAGGGGGGGGGGGGGGGCGCACGCCCTCCCTCTCCCCCCAAAAGCTCAGCTGCTCAAAAGAACAGATGTTATCAGGGCCGCTCTCAGCCGGCCCCCAAAATATGTGATTATGTTTGTATTTGCGTGGGTGTGCATGCGTGTGTGGGTCGGATATAGACAGAGTACTGGTCCTGACCGTTAGTGCCTCAGAAGAACCATGAATTTCGTGCATTCATGGACCTTGTGGTGTACTCAGGGAGCTATCATGGCGTTTTCATTTCTTTTTTTTTCAATGGAAAATTTCTCTCGAGTTGTGCTTGTGATCCTTGCGCAGGGCACACTACTTGGGGACAACAATTTCTTGATTTGTACTTGTCATCCTTGTGCAGGGCCAGGCTAATGGGTCCCACACACACCCACAACATGCATAGGCCATGCCTGGTGTGTTTCACACAACCACACAACCACAACCACACAACCACACACACAACCACAATACCACACAGACCACACCCACACCACCACACACACAACCACACACACAACCACACACACAACCACACACACAACCACACAACCACACAACCACACAACCACACAACCACACAACCACAGCCACACAACCGCACACACAACTACACACACAGCCACACAACCGCATAACCGCATAACCACGTGACCACACGACCACTCGACCACACGACCACACCACAACCACAACCACAACCACACAACCGCACACACAACCACACACACAACCACACACACAGCCACACAACCGCATAACCACACGACCACACCACAACAGGACCACACAAACCACACCCACACAATGACACACAATATTCCACTGTGCTGTGCGCAGCAACTGTGCATGCGGTACACACACATGACAGATTGACGCACAGCACCGCAATGGTGCAGCGCAAGTATGGTCAGAACCATACTAGCATGGTACCATGTGTGGACAATGTTCATGTGGGTAGTGCATGGCAGGCACCACATCCGCTTCTTAAAGCATCAATCTGGCCCCAGAAAGGCAGAAGTTGCCAAAAACTAATGGAACAAAACTTACACAATCATAAAAAAGAACGGTGTACCTTGTAAGTGACGAGGGGGAAAAAAAAAGCTAAAGCAAAGTTGATCATACTTGCAGGCCACCAGTGACGAAAATGTAAGTGAAGAGTGTCTACAAGTTAGACTACAACTTTATTTGTGTAAGTTATGAAGGTCATAAAGTATTAAAGTGCTGTTTTTCGGTTTGGAATCGCTTTTTAAATTTTAATTAAAAAAAAAGGAAATTGCACACCCTTTGAAGGACCTTTAACCCCGTCTTTACCGCCCACGCTCCCTAATGTGGAAGTTGATGCGCAGAAGGAAAAAAAAAACGATAAGGGCAGATTTCAAATGGCCAGACTAAGCGCGCACATCTGACCTGAAGCCAGGTACTTCTTCTCTTCTCTTATACGTTTCTTGGCCCATTCTTCATCTCATTTCTGCCTGGGTCCTCGGGTGTCTGAGTGTGGTGGTCTTTACCTGCGGGGACCCGGCTGCGGGACTGTGGAGGCCCATGCAAGTGGATGGGGTCTGTCCTGCCTGATCCTGGCCACTTGGCTGTGTGGGCCCATGCAGACGACTCCGGTGGCCGAACCATTTTTGGAACTCTTATTTCTCCTTTCCTTTGCCAGGCCTTAGCACACTGCGTGTGCAATGTGCGGTTATGATCAATAGATTCAATACCCATTTTGTTTCTGCAGATCAGCTCCCTGTACATTGAATGTGTAATTGGCACCATTACCTTCAGTGCAACTCAGTGTGTGGTAATTGCTTGCGAATAAAGTTTACCTCAAATGGAGCCATGTGCAAGTGTGGGCCTACACGTGCGTGTGCCTCCCAGACGCGTCAAATAGACTTGGAGATTGAGAATGATCAATCGATAGATGTTGGGGGGGGGAGAGAGAGAGAGAGAGAGAGAGAGAGAGAGAGAGAGAGAGAGAGAGAGAGAGAGAGAGAGAGAGAGAGAGAGAGAGAGAGAG